TTTGAAAGCGATCCGTCGAGATCTAAAATCACGATTTTCTCAAAAAATACACACAGAGATGCAATTTACTGCTTTACAGAGATTATTTTTTGATGCTCAAGAATAATCATGCAAAAGCTGATCAAAATACGTGAAATACTTATGTGAGTCTCTCCTGTTAGCTCAAAGAAGCTTATTTTAAAATCTATAACTTATGGCAACGTTCTATAATTTTGCGCGCTAAAAATATAAAAATACACATTTGAAGAATTTGTGTGTGTTTGTGTGTGTGTGTGTGTGTGTGTGTGTGTGTGTGTGTGTGTGTGTGTGTGTGTGTGTGTGTGTGTAAGGATATTTCTTAAATAGACGCCCACTAATATCCATATAGCGCTATTTCTGATAAAAAATAGAATCGAAAAGTCCTATTTCTGATAAAAATTAAAAAATAAAAAAGAATCGATGAAGTAATTATTATTATCGAATAAATCTGTAATTCAATCCGCGTCACAGTGTGTAACGTTTAAAGAACGATGTGGATTAGCTTTACTTAATAATAATTACTTCATCGAGCATTATAGAAAAAAAATGATAGGACTTTTTGACTCAATTTTTTATCAGAATTTTTTATCAGTTTTACTCTGTAATAACTATTTCATTGAACATTTATTGTTGTAGGAAAAATAGCTTAATTTTTGATCAGAAATAGCGTTATATGATTAGTGGACGCTATTTAAGAAACGCCCTGTATAACGTATACGTACATAGTATATACAAATACAGTCACGAAACTATTGTTCGAACAATGCATCATTATATCAATGATTTCTTCAGACTATTTTTCAATATGTCAGGAATTACATCTAGATAACTCTGATGTGCACTTTTGTTATAGTATACGTAACTATGAGCTTAGAATTATTTAGGTTATAGTGATTCTTGAATAGATTCTTGATTCGGCATGATTACTATAACTGTGGCTTTCTCAAAATGAGATTTTTGGAAGCGAGGAATACGAGAAAAATAGTAAAAAAAAATTCTCTAATCAACAGATATCAAAATAACTAACAATTACAAGCCAAAAAAATCGCTTCACGTGGAAAGTCCTGCGCCCCATAGCGGAGGGAAGGGGAGGGTTAAGTGTCCTGAATAACCTCCAGAACATTAGTCGACAATCATTGTTTAAAATTATCAAATTGATCATAAAATTGAATTATGATTTTTAAAGTAAATATTGATTATAGAATTTTTTAAATTATTTTTTTCGTGTTCCTTACGAAAAATGCTTTCAAAAATAATTTTTATTTTGAGGGGCAGTTATCGTAATTGCTCCTCCCGCCCCCCCCCTCCTTCCCGCCAGTTCCGCCATAATTTCAATATATACAGGCTGCATTCGGAAACATCGCTCGGATGCCTCCAATGTCTCGGTTTCATCTGTCTTTATTTAACATTTAATGTTGTTAAGGGGCTATGTACTGCTTTTCCGATTGTTTTGAAAATTAAGGCTCCTGACTAATCGCGGCGGCCATGTTGGAATCATCAGAAACGAGGAATGACACATTAATTTATGTGCATGCCAACGTTTTATGTCTTTATTTTTAAATAAATTTGGATGAAACGAAATGACGAGATCACTTTGAAACACTTGTAAAAATCGATGAAAACTGTCCTTTCCTAACTTGACAATCAGAAAATGATCGTAAAAGGCACGTAAAGTGAGCCTGTATTCGGGCAGAAACACACGGTTGACTGTTGAAACGAGTTAAAATAATAAATATAAAATTCCAAGATAACTTTAGTTTTCATCGATAATTATGACTTTGATAAATACGAGACAAATCACATTTTCACTTGAGCAAATAATAAAATGGCACGCAACATAAATTTTTTCGTTAAAACGTTACTTTTCCATGCCTATATAAGTTCGACCATTTATCGTGATGCGCTGTAAAACAATAAACACGAGTCCATGTCCGTGTGCTCGCCTGTGGTGCGCCGAGAGTAAACGAGACAGCGAACTCCTTCTTACAAGTCGCTTGTTTCAAGCGACTGAAAATGTTTTCTCGGCAATTTCGGCCGCTCGGTGGTCCTAGGCATCAATAAGAGGCGGGGGGAGGCATCCTAAATAACAATATAAGTTTTAATAAATTATATTGTATCCCTCTCCTTAATCCAGAATAATATAAATCATGTTAAATGCAACAGTTTACAGATATTTAATTGTTGTTTACGATTTTTCATTCACGTTATATAGTACCTCTCTTTCATAACCTCGAGTAGCAAAAATAGTTCAATAGAAATAAAATTTTGCTAGAAAAAAATTATAAATCAGCATTTCTATTCACGAAAGTCTCGAAAAGCCATCAGAAAAGAAATGCGTTTGCGATTCGAGACTTATGAAGAAAATATGCGAAAAAATCGAATAATTGCAAAAAGCATGGTTTTCGCTTATAAAATGAAAGATATTGATTGTATGGAAAAAAATTCGGTATAAAAAATGTAGATATTCGAAATACCTATAAAATACCTATAAAATACCTATCTAATAATGACGAATCATCCCCGTAATGACGAATAAATCTAGCCTTGAACAAGCCTGAAATGTTCACTAGTTTTTGCATTTTTTTATACGGAAAAAGATACCCATTTTTTAAAGTCATTTTATAATAGGTTCATTGCAAAAAATCGTTTTATTATTAAGTGTACGTGATAGTGCAATTCTTAAAGAAGAAAAATCACCCCTATAAATTGCTGTGCGATTGCTCAAAGATGAAGAAATTAAATTTTCTGCAGACAGATTTTGAACAAATAGCTTTTTGCAAAAATTAATGAACATTTCAGGCTTGTTCAGGGCTAGATTTATTCGTCATTATGAGGACTATATATTACGAGATTTTCAAAGCTTTGCGTTTTGCTTTTAATTCTCAATGAACAGAGAGCGAGCGTGAAAAAAGGCTTTTTTTGGTATTTATTTTTTTTTATTGAACTAATAGATCGATTTTAATGTTCCATTTTAATGTCTCATTTTGTAGATATTTCAAATATCTACAAAATGATATTTTATACCGAATTTTTTTCCACATAATCAATATCTTCATTTTATAAGCGAAAAACGTGCTTTTTGTAATTATTCGATTTTTTTCGCATATTTTCTTTACAAGTCTCGAATTGTAAACATATACATTTCTTTTCTGATGGCTTTTCAAGACTTTCGTGAAGAGAAATGCTGGTTTATAATTTTTTTCTGGTAAAATTCTATTTCTACTGAACTATTCTTGTTACTCGAATTTGAAGGAGAGATATACTATATAACGCGAATGAAAAATCGTAAACAATTGAATATCTCATAAACTGTTGCGTTTTATATTATTCTGGATTAATGGGAATGGTACACTATTATTACAATTTATTAAAATTTATACCTATTTAGAATGCTCTCCGCCCTTTATTGATGCCTAGGTCTGCCTAGCAGCTGAAATTGCCGAGAAAGCATTTTCAGTCGCTTGAAACAAATGATTAGTATGACAAGGAGCTCATTGTTTCGTTCACTCTCGGCCCGCACTCGGATATGCTCGTGCTTAAGTGGCTACTGATTTCGCCAGACCGCCTGATTCTGTGTCGCTACCGTCAATGCAGAGTTCTTGGCTGAGTAGTCAGGAGATTTAAATATGTTTTTAGATAAATCATCAGGAAATTATTTTAGTAAAAAATGTAGTAGTATTTCAAGTCATCCTATTGAAAAAAAATATTAGAAACTTTGAAAACTTTTCAACCGGTTTTTTTTTTAAAAAAGTTTTCATAATTTTTTTAGGAAGCCGAACATGGGTACAACGTATCTTGCTGTATGCGATTTTTCACTTTGCTGTAACTTTTTTGTAATATAATTTGAAGACTCAAATTGAGAGGCTGAAAAAAACTTTAATTGTCTAGATATGATGAGCCTGCAAGAGTACTTTTTTTTGTGTTTTTCTTGATGTAAGAATGCACGAAAGTTCAAAGAGGATATTTGGAATCCACACGTGACTAATTTGTAAGTTTTCGATGTTCTGAATATCCCTTTATTTTTTATTAAATTTATTGAGTTTCGAATAGCATAAAAGTAACGTACACGAAAATGTAGAACTAAAAAGAATTATATTTCAATATAACAGATAGTAGAAATTTTATAATTTCTATCAATCTTCGGAAATCGCTCGACCGGAGCGGATTTATTGCTTTAGAGCGAGTGTTGCATCCTCTAAATTAATTCCTTATAATAAACTTAATTATATATACTATAATAATATTTATACATATACAATCCTTTATCTATTTATATTATTATTCTTTTATATTGTTCAAATAATAAAATTTTATTAATTGTAAACTTAAAATATGTAGATTCTTCAAAAATGTTGATTTTGGATAGTTCAAATAATTATATTTTTTTGAATAATTCATGTCGTACTATTTTTTTTTGTTAGTCCAAAGAGTCAATTAAAAAAATCCTATAGGTTTTTGTTTGAACATTATATTAAAAATTTGAGAATTTTTATCCAAAGTAATCATTTTTTGCGAATTTTTTCAATCAAATTTTTTTGAAGCGTTCTAATTAATTGAATAAAATATTATTTATTTGATCCATATTTCTTGTCTTTGTCTGACTTCGAGATATAAATTTTATATGTTTAAGCTAAAAAATACGTATTCAGACCAGAGATATAGCGTGACAAAGTTGCAAGTTTCATATACTCTGGTTAGACCGGGAAGGTAACCAAAAATAAATTCGAGGATTTTCCAGGATTAAACATCGCACCATTGAATTCCATAACATATTTTTCTTTCGTCGAAATCGATTTATCCATTAAAGAGAAAATTCGATTTATCGATTTTCAATTTTATCCCTATAACTCCCATAAAAAATTTTTTTCAGATAGGATAACTCCAGTATATATGCCGCACCTATCAAAAACTTAATTTATTAAGTATTATTTATTATATTTAAAATAAACGAATTATATTAGTAAAAACTTTGTACTCTCTACTATGAAAAAAATATTGGAAATCCGAAATATTTATTTTTCATATTAAAAAATAAACTTTTGAAACCTTTGCATTTTTGCCATATATCCCATAGGAGTGAGGTATATGGCTATTCATATACCTCATATGGGGAGAAGGGGTATGTACGATTCATGAAAAATTTACAAATAATGCATATAAATATGTGAAATGACACATATAATACGAAATAACTTATAAAATGTGTTTATAAAGTTTTATTAAGGAATAATAAGGAAAAATGGTAAAATGGTATGTATAAATATGTATATGAAATAATAATTACAATCTTCCTACATATATGACAAGTGTTATGAGGTACATATTTCATAATGCGTTTATTGCATTTAGTGCACTGAATTCAATTTGCGCTTTGTATGCTTTGGGCATAAATCTCGCTTACTAAAAATGTCATATATCCCAAATAGATGAGATATACAAAACAACAAACTAAACAAAGAATACGAAAGCAAAGCTTGTATTTTGCTATACAACATGCTTTACTACACACGTATATATCACTAAATAATCACTAATTGTAAGTCTTTTACATGCTCTACAGTAATCATTTTATATTATAATTTATGATGATGTTACTTATTACACAAATCGATTCAACTCACAATAATTTCGTTAATATTAAAAATCTGAAATCATAACATAATATTAATATAAAAGCATGTAACAGAGTAGTTGTGAGAAAATTATTCTCACTCCTATTTTTTCTGATTTCTGTGGCGTAATCCCAACGCAGTGTATTTGCCGGAGTTACCCTATATAATATTTGCGAAATTCATTCTTGCATCGCTGCTAACTTATTGTAAAAACCAAATAAATGCGGGGGCAGCATATACATACTTATCCTGCTAGGCCCTTTGGTTCTTAAAATATAATAAATAAAATTATTTGCATCTCAATTGCACACTATCAGAACTTATTTTTTTCTTTTTTCTAAAAAAATCTAAAAAATTAACAGGACCTGCAGGCAACTTTTTTTTTATTATGAATATCATAATTACATTGATTTTTCTTAGTATTTCAGCTGTAATTTTGAACAAAAATTCATTATTTTTTTATATGATATGTTTATATGATATGTTTCCTTCTTTAATGCAGTTAATATTCGAATAATAGTTTGGAAAAATCATTAAAATAATGACACTGTCGAAAAATAAGTTGATATTCACATTTCGTGTTTATTTTAAGACTTAAGTAATGTCTTAAGATGCTAATACATAATCTTCTAATTGGCTTAAGATTTGAGACAATCTCAAATATAAGAATCGATTATGAATATCGGTTTTAGATCTCATTTTATATATAAATATCTTACAATAATTATACGTGTCCTTTTCCATTTTTCTCAGCTGATTGGCATCATCTTTGCATTGTGTCTGGCGAATTCCATAAAGAACACCGAACGCAGAGGCTACAGTGTGTAAAAGTGCAATTTTGTGAAGGACGTTTTGGAAGGCTTTCGATACACAACAATCTTATTTTCATTTTACTACTGTCAACGTATTCGCCTAAGATGTGATAAATCACTTGCGCTTTACAGCAGGATAAAATACATTTCTTTTTTTTTTTTTTTCTAAACAGATTAGAGTATCTCTTTATGTTTTCTTTTCCTGTTTCTTTATAGTCATAATTACAATAAAACGGTAATATTTTTTCGACATATTTAAATGACATATTTTTGTTTTTTGAATGTAAGAATTAATGCGTAGAGTTTGGCATGATATCTGGCAACGAGTTTTACTATAATTATTGTCGGATCAGATTATATTTTTTTCCTTTGTAAAAATAATTTTTTTATACAATTATATACATACATATATATATTTTGATACGGTACAATTTTGACTTATGTCTCTGTCCTAAAAAGATCTAAAAATATAGAAAAATCAATATAATTCACTTTGTTTAATATGAATATGCAAGATTGTTTCGTGCGATAATCCACGAATAAAATTATTGAAGTACGAAGATAAAAAGTAGACGAGTTATAGTATTTTACAAATATTTACGAAAATATTTTTTCATATACTGAACTACACAATCGTACCTGCGGAAATGTTATGCCGTAATTAAAAACACAAAATTCTCGTATGTGTCTTTATATAAAAATCCACTTTGTTGTACAGCACACAGATTCTATGTAAAAATATATGTACACACATATATATATATATATATA